TTTGTCCAGGTGATGTCTTTCCTCACCGGGGCCGAAGGGGGATGTCTGGGCATGTAGGGGTGAATGGGCCGCTGGTATTCTGGAATTGGTAGTAAGTGTCTCGGTGATGCTGGACTGCGGCCCAGGGCTGCATCCTTTAGGGTCTTTGCAAAAATACGCACTCCGTCTTTGTGTAGGTGGAGTCCATCATACAGGTGTTGGAGGCCGATGTGGTGGTGGTGGGCCAGGTGTACATTGGGGAGCGCAGAACAGCCACGGGAAATTTCAGCATTGATGCTGTAGATGATGTGTGGGTGTGTGTCTTGTCTTGGGAGAAGCGTGGAGATTATGATTCGGGATTCTGGGAACGTTTTGCTGGTGATTTCTGCCATTTTCCTCACAGCATCAACAGTATTGTTGCGTAGCGAGTGAAGGTCGTTAGTCCCAGTGTGAATGATAATACATGAGGGGTGTCCTGTGACGTCTCTGATGATCTGGTGGGCATGGCCTGTTGTGCTACATCACTTTGAAGTGACTTTTTGGTGTGAGAAGAGTTTCTGAGGGTCCACAAACTTTCCATTAGAGTCCATGAGGAGAAGAACATCTGGATCAGGTTCTGGAGCCTGGGCGGGTGGTTGCTGCATTGCTGCAGGTGTCTGTGTGTTTGTTGTAGGTACGCTTTCTGTGTTTGTGTAGTTTGGTTTGTCTGTAGTTATTGTAGTGTTGTAGTGAAGTGTGTTGTCTTTTGTGTTTTTCTGTAACTGTTCTCTCATCTCTTGCAGCTTTCTGGAGAAGTTCTCTTCTTTTTTCTCTGTGTTCTCCTCTAGTTTGCATAGCTGTAAGCGGAGAGTTCGGTTTTCTTCTTGCAGTTCTCTGAGAGCTCTTGTGAGTTCAGTGATGGAAGAGCTGGTGTTGTTCTTCAGCTGCTGGAGTTCATCTTTGAGCTCATGGATGTAAATGTTTGTGTTAGTGTCTGAGAGTTTTGCTTGAGTGTGTTCTCTGAATTCAGTAAAGTCCAGTTCTAGTAGGGCTAAACTGTCTCTCAGTTGACGTTCAGATGGTGAAGGTGGAGGATTCACTGGGCCTTCCTCCTCAGAGTCTGTGCAGTTCACATGAGTCTCGTCTCTCTTCTTCTCTACTCTGGCCTTCAGCAGGGGGAAAATCTCCTCAAATGAATTTAGGCTTGCTTCATTGCCTTGCAGTAGGAAGGTGCCTTTAGTGTAGTAGGTTATAGTGAGAATGGGGTTGTCTGTGTCTAGCATTTCAGCTTCACAAATAGTTAGTCTTCCACCTCGGCCTATTCCTTCTTTAAATACATGCTTGTATTCCTCACAGATGGCCAGTTTCCAAGCACTAATCATAGTGGTGTAGAAAATTAAGTTGTTCTTGATTCTTTTCGCATTGAGTTGAATGTAGTCAGCATACAGAACATCAGGATCTCTCTCTCTCTCTCTCTCTCTCTCCCTCTCACAGTTACTAATCAAGACAACACACTGCTTCTCGCCTCTCCCCCTTTTCACAGATGGCCAGTTTCCAAGCACTAATCATAGTGGTGTAGAAAATTAAGTTGTTCTTGATTCTTTTCGCATTGAGTTGAATGTAGTCAGCATACAGAACATCAGGATCTCTCTCTCTCTCTCTCTCTCTCTCCCTCTCACAGTTACTAATCAAGACAACACACTGCTTCTGGCCTCTGCCCCTTTTTGAAAAAGGCTTTTTTCTAATTTGTCTGAGGCATCAGTCACACTGTACACGCTTGATTAACAGTGAGCTGAGATAGATAGATAGATAGATAGATAGATAGATAGATATAATAGATAGAGCATATATAAAAAAGGGAAATATCAGTCAGACATACTATTTAGGTAGAAGGAAAATAGGCTTAAATTATCACTTATGCATCTACAGAAAGGAAGTATTAATTAACTAATTTACCGGTATCTATTTTATTTATGTCTGGCCCACTTAAATTACCAGCATGAAAAGCAGCCCTAGGACAAGGTTTTTAAATCTTAGATGCTACAGACCCCTAAATATGATCATCCTCATGCAAGGGGTCCCATTATAAAATTGAAAAGGCATCTATATACTGTATAAACTGACCCAGTTTATAATGTGAAAATTAATATTATAAATATGGGTAAACTATTATTTGGAAAATATTTATTTTCATTTGCATTACATTATTACGTTTCTTTTTCTAAAACACTGTACCGTCAGATGTAGTATTTATTTATTTATTACATTTAAATTACTTATTTTAATATTTTTGTTTATTTTAGTCAAATGTATTTATTTATTTAGTTAAATCTTATTTTTTATTATCTAATCATTATCTATTATTATCTACATTTTTTACGCTGCTTTTCTCAGAATTGATTTCATGGACCTCTTTATACCAAAGTTCCTTTCTATTGTTTATAGTCCCATGACTTAAAAAACTTTTTTACGTTTTGCTTTTGTCAGATTTTGCAATTTTTAATGCACGATTTAGTACGCAATTATATACATATTTTGAAATTGTTGAGTGTACTATAACTATCACGCACACCCCCCAAATTCTAGGAAAAAGACCCGATTTGTCAACAAGCAGTAAGTACAGCAGACAGAAGCCCCTCACTGCAGAACACGCCGCCTGTACGTACTGCGTCGACGCACATACGTCAACACGCCCGGCCGGCGATGATTGGCTGGCGGGTAAATTTGAAACGCAACTCCTCGAGACGCTAACGTTAACAACATACCCCGGTAAACCAGTTTGAAGCTGTTGTGCCTGGGAACAAATATTTTTAGGTTCTAGTTTTGAATCACATTGTTTCACGCACAAGGCTGGAAGTCTACACAAATCCGTAAGTTAAAATATCGGACGACTTGCTGTAATGAATCAATGTTTGTAAGTTAGTGTTTGTAAGATACATGCTAGTGTGTATTTCTTTTCAAAGGATTTTAAGTTACTAATATTTAATCTCGTCACTTTACTATGCACTTTTACTCTTAGATTTTTGGTATTATTGTTTTTATCATCATTATTTTATATATTTTATTCAGATACATATTCATATTAATTATTTGGCCACGCCCCAAATATTATGTAATGCACGATTTAGTACGCAATTATATACATATTTTGAAATTGTTGAGTGTACTATAACTATCACGCACACCCCCCAAATTCTAGGAAAAAGACGTTGTCAACAAGCAGTAAGTACAGCAGACAGAAGCCCCTCACTGCAGAACACGCCGCCTGTACGTACTGCGTCGACGCACATACGTCAACACGCCCGGCCGGCGATGATTGGCTGGCGGGTAAATTTGAAACGCAACTCCTCGAGACGCTAACGTTAACAACATACCCCGGTAAACCAGTTTGAAGCTGTTGTGCCTGGGAACAAATATTTTTAGGTTCTAGTTTTGAATCACATTGTTTCACGCACAAGGCTGGAAGTCTACACAAATCCGTAAGTTAAAATATCGGACGACTTGCTGTAATGAATCAATGTTTGTAAGTTAGTGTTTGTAAGATACATGCTAGTGTGTATTTCTTTTCAAAGGATTTTAAGTTACTAATATTTAATCTCGTCACTTTACTATGCACTTTTACTCTTAGATTTTTGGTATTATTATTTTTATCATCATTATTTTATATATTTTATTCAGATACATATTCATATTAATTATTTGGCCACGCCCCAAATATTATATATGGCTGAAAAGCCAAACAGTGGCATGTATTGTCGCGAGATACTAGCAATAATCATATGCCAACTTCAAATAAAGTTGCTGGGTCTTAGAACGATATAACTAACGTTAACGTTAGAAGCAAAATAAATCTGCCTAGCTAGTTATATGAAATGGTGCACACACTTAAAATGTTTTTCTGCAATGCAGGAGGACATGGAGACTGCTGTGATCAATCTGCACAGCATTTTTAATAGCCTGCAGGCACAATTTGATGTTCTCAATGAAAGCATTGAGCCCCGTAAGTACTGGTTGTGGCTTGAAAAATGTAAATAAAATGCATTCATTCACTAAATATTCACTGCCATTCTTTATCTCATTGTCAGAGTTCATTCAGATGGCCTTGAACTTTGAGGACAGCCGTCGTAAATGGCTGAGACGCGAGCAGGAGCTAAATGCATGTAAGGAGGTGCTCACCAAGGCCGAGACGGAGCGAGGAGCTCTGGAGATCAAGCTGAAGCATGCCCGCAACCAAGTAGATGTGGAGATCCGTCGGAGACAGAAAGCTGAGGCTGACTGTGCCAAACTGGTTTGTAGGCCTCTTTTTGCATGTTGCTTGTGCTGTGGACCTGTTCTCTGAATTTTAAGCTAAAACCAAATGTTTTCTTCTACTCTGCAGGACCGTCAGATCCAGCTCATCCGGGAGCTGTTGGTGTCTGAAGGTTCCAGTAACAGCATCCAGTTAAATGAGGAGCAGCGGTCAGCTCTGGCCTTTCTGAATGCCCGTTCCCAGAATCCTGCAAACCTCAACACTAGCCGACGGTAAGAGAAAGAACATGAAACCACATTATCAACCCATTTTACTTCTGTAATATGCTGGGTTTCTGAGAAAACCTGGTTATTCTTTAAGAAATCCTTCAGGATTTGATTGGAATCATAAAGCGTTAGATCAGGGTTTTTCAATCTTTTAGATGCCACGGAAAACAAATATGATCATCCTTTTTAATGGACTAATTATAAGGAGATAATTACATGAATGTCATAAAGACCAAATAGATGGTTTTTATGATTGAATTGTTTCGTACTGCTGTAGGCTGTAACTTGTCTTTTACTTTTACTTTACTTTTAGTCATTTAGCAGACGCTTTTATCCAAAGCGACTTACAAATAAGAAAAAGTAATTAAAACTAAAAGCTAAAACTCTATATATACTATATATATATAATTAAATTAAATAAAAATAACAAATGCATACAACAACATTTCAAAACTAAAACATTTAAATGAAAACAAAAAAAATAAAGCTAAAAACTATTCAAAATATTAAAAGTTAATTTAAAAATTATTAATTTAAAAATAATAATGATTCTAACATAACACTAAGCCAAACACCAAAAAACAACTACATATGTGTATGTACAGCCACACACATATACATGTACATATATATAAATACATTCAATATATATATATATTTCATTTCCATTTTGTATGTTGAAGTACTGAAATAACTCAAATTAAATAAAACTAAAACTTAATAAAAAACCTATATAGACAGAATAAAAAACTAATAAAATGACAACATTACTACAACTGTAACTAAAACTAAAATAGATAAC